AAGGTCGCTAATGGAGCCCGAGTCTGGTGTATTTGTTGGTCAGTTGTTGTTTGTTCTATTTTACAGTTTTAAATGCAGCATGATGCCTGATGTTCTCATTTCATAGTTTTGTGTGCATAAATCACTGATTTATTGATTATGCTTGAATGACTGAGAACCCGATGTTGTATGTTGGCTTGTTTGGCATGAATTACTGGTTGCTTGTTTGTGTGTGATTTGATGATGCTGATTGAGGAAAAGGGGAATGAAAGGTTATATAAATTGATAATTGTATAATGTGGTCAGCCTGACTAGATATCTTGGGAGATGGTGGACGGACCGGGTTTGTAGGGAACCCTACCGGGATTGTGGTCTCTCATACCAGACGGGGTATGAGGACGGCCCGTTTCACCCTCATACCGGACGAGGTATTGAGGTTTATAGTTTTGGCGCCCATACCGGACGGGGTATGGGGACGACCCTGGAATCTGATTACAAGTGTTAAAGGTTCACGGGTAGCGGGACCCTTATGGATCCCCATGGATACTAGCACGCTGGTTAATAAGGACAAATATGTTGTGTCATGATTGATATGCAAAAGGCGTGATAAGTATTATGTTATACAGTTCCTATGATTTCATGATGATGATAATGTTATTGTTTTCGTATATTATTTTATGAATTTCACCGAGGTAAGTGGATAGCGAAGATTTTATTATTGATAAAAGAATTTTTTGTAAACTATATTCCATTGGTCTTTTGTGTTTTCTACCCACCTTTATCTCCGTGACGGTGAGATAGTGTGATGTCTTTACTGGGCTGGTGTAACTCATTCCTTATTTAATCATTTCAGATCAGGAAGACATTGTTCCCGAGCCCGTTCCGCAGGAAGACGGCGAAGGGGACGCTTGAAGACTCCGTAGTCATATTTATAGCTTTTATTTTTGAGTTTCTCTTTTAGTTAGTTCGTTCTTTTATACTTTGAACACGTTTTTGGTTTTAGTGTAAGACATGTTTAATCAAAATTTTATTTCGCTTCCGCATTTGACCTTTTTAATACACATGTTTAATTTCAAATTTCCGGGGCCGTTACATTTCTAATGCGCCTACTAGCGATCCCCCGATTTTTTAATTTTTCCTACAGAGATTTAAACACGCTTCACGTATATAAAAATACATCAAAAAATTCAAAATAGGTGTTAAAATCTTGTTTCGGCCAATTTCGGGATTCTGACACGGTGACTGCTGATTGAAGGATCTTATATAGCAAAAGTTTTTAAAATTGCGTTCTGACCCCTAGTTTCTAATTTTTCTTTTAAAAAATCATTTGAATCCAAATTATCACCCATTTTTTTCAAAATTGTTTTTAATTTCATCCATAACCTATTTTTTCATAATTTCACATTAAATTAAAATTTATTAATTTCAAAAAATAGATTTTTATACGTTTTACAATGTTAAAATTAATTTCTGACAAAATTTCGGGTCTGAATATTACAATAATATTATCACATTAATTTTATAGTTATATTAAAAAAAATTTATTTGGTATAGGATTAATAGTCAATTAAATTTTTTTAACAAATAACTCTTTATAATAAGCATTATATTAAATATAAAAATATTTTAGAAAATAAAAAGATGCATATAAATTTTCAAATTTACTTTTATATATAGAAATTAAAATTGATGCTCAAAATAAAACTACAATTTAATTAATAAATCAATTTTCTTGGCAATATATTATTTTAGAGAGAATTTTTTCTCATGAATCATTTAATTTCAAAGTAAATTACACATTTTCGAGTGATCAAATTAAAAAAAGTAGTTGATTTGTAATCCGCAAATACTACAAGTGGAACCAGCAGACAAATTCAGTTATCCAAAAGGAGAGGAGGAAACTCTGAGTTGGCAAATTTATTACGGACATGGCTGCAGCCGGCACAGTTTGCAATTAAAAGGAAAGGTGTAGATATGGGAATTTATTGAGTTTTAAGGGTATATTTTGAATAAATTTATATATGTATAATATATTTTAATTAAAAGAAATACAAAATTTACTATTTTCAACACTAAAAATATAAATATTGTTTAATATTAAAATATAAGTGTTACAAATTAAATAAATAAATAATATATATATTGATATCTGGGGCAAATAATAATGTACATTAAGAAATATGGAAAAGGAAGATTAAAAGTCAACAAAGTCCATTTCATTAAATCCAAACCCATTAAAATTATCTTAATAACCCCAAATTTTAATAACTAAAATTGATAGCAATCTGTTTTAAAATATCTTTAACCGATTGAGTTTTAATAATTACCAAAAGTGAAGTCGGTGCACGAATATTTTATTAATGAAAAATAAATTCAGGAAATTAAAAGTTATTATTATTTTATTATATAAAATAAACAAAGAAATTAATGGCGATGGGAAAGCCAATGAACAGGAAAATCTTTAGCAGCAGCCGCAGGCACGTCTTCCATAACTTTTTCATGTCCCTGCGGGTAGTAAATTCCCGTTCGAGGATGAGGAACCCAGCTGCTGCTCTCGCCGCCGCCGCAGTTCCTTTTGGTTTCCTCTGCTTCTGGTTTCCCGGCCTCCCGCGCTGCATCTCCCCTGGAATTTGAGCTTTTCCGGTGGTACGATTTTCTTACCATCGGCCTGAACATGTTTACACATACATGTATGTATATACACGCAATTAAATATTGTGTGGAAGATAATTATACATACACATATTTATACAGAGTGTTATGTATGAGAGAATTACAAAGAAAAGCTTACTTGAAGAAGATGGAGTTGATGGAGTGTGATCCTCTTGATGCCATGATGTTTTAAGTGAGTAGGGGAGTTTCCCAAGAATGTGGAAGGGTATTTATACTTACTCAAGGAGATGTATTATTAACACCCATATGTGTGTGTATGTATATGTAAAGGGTTAGGGAAAAAAGTTAGATGAGGTGATAATCAGTGTTATCCATTTCTCTCTTTTCAAGAGATCTGGTTGGGACCGTTTCTCATCACGTCATTTTCTGTTTCCATCACTTTTCTTCATTACCTTGCTTTATTTGTTTACATATATGTCTTTGTAGGCATCTAAACTATTCACATATTTATTTAGAATTTTAAAAGAAAAATACAGACCCTTAGCACATAAAGGAATGCACATTAAGAATGCAAAAGGGGAATCCGCCCATATCTATTCTGTTCGAGCAACTAATCGAATTAGAGTAGAGTATAACGAAAAATGTATAAGTAAGAAAAATTGTGGTTGTAACCATCACACTCCTTTATATATGTTTTAAAATTATTTTTATACATATAATTAAAATAGTTTTAAATTATGTTTTAGATTTATTTATTCATTGCATTTATTAAATATTAGTTCGTATTTTATTTTTAAAATTATTTTAAAATAAAAAAGCAAGTAACAAATATGAAGTGGTTAAAAAAATAATTACTTGCAGAGTATAAGTGGTTAAAAAGATATATACTCATCTAAAGTACAAATATGAAGTATGAATTTTATATTAAGAGATAGAGATTAGGGTAGACATATTTGGCCAAAATTCGTCCAATGGCTCTCAATTTAGGAGGGTAACTTCCTATCATGAGTATATGTCAAAATTAGTGCAAAAATTTGATATCATGACTGGTTTTAAATGTTTTAGATTTAAGCACAATATGATTAATGATATCATTACTATATTTACTTTCAAATAGACGTCATGTGTTCTAAAATAAAAATTTTTGTTTGATGCTAATCCATGAGTAAAGAGTTTTCTCCATCTCCAATATTAAAATTCAGACATCTTAGTAGCTAGTGAGCAATGAATTTTTATATCCTAATCATTTTGAGAAAGAAGCATCGAACGTTCTAATTACTCATTGGGTAAAACATATCTTAAAAAATATTGAAATTGTAAAAAAAACTGACATAAATCTAAACTAATTTCTACTGAAAAAAAAAAAACCAATAACGTAAATAGTAAGTCACAAAAAATTGATCACATTCTTAATTTTGAGTATACTACGATGTCAATTAATATTCTCAAATCCATCAATATTAGAATCTCATTTAACAAGATTCTCTCTTAATGTTCAATGTTTCCCTCCACTATCAACTTCTATAAAAGCTCGTAGTGTAAGTTAAATTTATTGTTGCATAGTTGTACTTGCAATTAATGAATTATTGTATAAATAATTTTCAAGTTAATTTCTCTTTTTATTTTATCATTAGAATATATATAAGTATATATATGATTATAATGTATAATTACTTATATGTATAAACCCCAAAACCTTTTAATCTTTTTATTTATTTTATTTGTATTGTTCTAAAATGAACCCATTCTCGTTTTTATTTCCCTTTTTTTTTTTTTTTTTCCTTTCTTTTCCGGAGCCAGGCTAGCCTGCTCCATTTTCTTTTCTCCTTTTCCCTTTCAAGGCCCAGCAACACCTTAAAGGCGCCTCCTACAACGACAACGTTTTGGGAGGCGGCCTTTAAACCTTTTCTCTTCCTCAGATATTGGTGTGTAAAATAAGTAGAGAAAGAATGGCTTAAAACAAGGAATTGAGACTAATTAGGGAGTGCGAATAGGCGTAGGTATGACCTAAAAAGAATAAAAAGGTAACAAGTTGGTTTTG